AGCGCAGCGGGTTTCAGAGCTTTGTTTTCATCATTCTTCAGAAGATATGCCTGCAGAAAGAGGTTTTCAAAAACTATAAGAGCAACACATCTAGGTTTGACACGTGATGAGGGTGGTTAATTTTAAAAAAATTTTTACTGCATCAGATCTGCTGGTTTGAACAAAATGGCCTTAATACAGTTCAGTTAATTTCAGCCTTGATTTAAACACTCACCTGTCTTGCAAGAAAGTACTCTGCTTGTTTTTGTGACAGCGGGCCTCTGCTTGGAATATTGTCATTTCTAAAATGGAGCAAAAATAACACGAGTGTCTTCTGTTAACAATCTGCTGTTACTAATTATTAGTACTTTTACAAAAGCTGTAGGGGTGTGTGATTTAGACTTTTAGTGTACGCACAGTGAATAAATTGCAGTGGAAGATCAGTAGAAAGTAGAAAGTAAAATATGCTACACCAAATCAATCAAATTTAAGAGCAACACTAACCGAAGCTCTGACTCATGCAGTGGGGTGTCCAACTCCTCTTTGTCTGTCCTGTCCCCGACAGTATCCTCAGTGCTGGTGAGGTCCATGTCGGAGTCGTCAGCGACCAGCGCTGGCAAAACCGCCTGCCCATCAGTAGGCTTGCCGTACTGACTGTGGTAGTAGTGCTGCAGGGACTTGTACAGCTTGTAGACCTGACTAAAGGACAGCTTGTTGTAGGCCAGAATCATGTGCCTCATAAAAAGACCTAAACAACAACAACAACAGGTGGGAGCTTAATGCAAGCCTTGTGAAAGAGAATAATACAGACTTTTTAGGACTTCTAAATCAGACTTTTAAGAGCTACCATATCCCGAGTACTACTCACCCACAACACTGGTTTTATATGCCTCAGAGTCAAAAGCAGTGAATGGAGTGGGAAGAGTGGAAAAGAAGTACTCCATGTCTTTCAGCTCTCCGTCTGCCATTTCATGCAACCTACGAAGAAAAAAAAACAATGTTCTCACTAACTAGACATGTCAGTGTTTTAACATTATTGTGATGCTATATTGTCAATAACTAATATTAGTTATTGTGTCAGTAGACGTAGAATATGATGTTTAAGCCAGGACATCTGTGCAGCACCACAATATTTAATTTAAAATGGTATTCTGACACATCATATCACCTTTAACAAATACTGTGCCTCCAGTGATTAAAAAATTGAAGTAGGCCATATTGCGATTTCGCTAACATTTCGATTAACTGTTCAGCCCTACTTGTTACAGCAGCTCCAGATACAACACACACAACAGATAAGAAAATACACATTAATAAAAAGAGAATAGAAAAATACAAAATATATAGAAGAAATAGAAAAAGAAGAACTAGAGTACACTATATACACCTTTCATAGACATATGTGGTTGATGTGTGCATGGGTCACAGCAGGAGGTAGTTGCGAGGTGTAGAAATAAATATATTGCACAGGACAAAAATATATACAGCAGTATAGATTAGAGGTAATATAGGCTATAAAAAGGCTTTGGGAATACAGTACAAGTAATAATACAGCGTGCATAAGAAATAATATGTATGTGTGTAATTGTGCACAGTGCAGGTATGAAATTCACATGTTACAAGGTTGCGTGCTACCGACCAATTAAGTGAAGTGTGTGTTGAATAGTGTTTCAGCAGACCTGAGTTTGACAGCATATGCAGTCTGAGGGCAACACTCTTCCACAGTCTTCAGGAACTGCCCGAGAGTCAGATCTGGACCCTGACAACCCCACAGGGAACAAACGCTGTTATCAATGCACCTGCTTCAACACAGTGGCTTACAAGACGGCTGCACGAATTAAAACCGACCTGCTGCAGGGGTAGGATGAGTTTGTTGAGTCGTCTTCTTTCCGGCAGCGTGATTTTGGACGCAGTCATGTCGTACAGCAACGCCAGGACGGAGATTTTATGCGGAGTCACCCAGTCTTTGATGCCAAACACGTTAGCATGCACCACTCCGTTCGTCATCATGGGGTTGAAATACAAACTTTCATGCACACTCGCCATTTTAACACGCCGTGTTAGGCTACGATGAAAGAAAGAACACACTTTTTTGTGCTTCACTGGGGCAACATTTAGCGGAATAAGTTAAATACAGGCAGCTGGACACCGCCGCAGCTAGCTAAGTTAGCCGGCTAACGTCAGCGCACCAAGTTTATTTATTAAAGTTAGCTCGCGTTAAGCTCTGCGAAGAAGGCAACAGTACATCAACGACTAGTCTCGATTTACTTGAAGATAAGATATCTTTGTGACAGTCAACACTCGCTTCAGTCTTGTCAGGTAATTTGGTAAATTTTAATAATATTGACAAAAGTTGCCTCTCTGTGCTTTCAAACCGCCCTCCGTCCGTCCCCTTAAAAATACGTCATAAAGAGACAGGACATACTTTTTTTTTTCTTCTTCTTTAACATAAAATAAAATAAAAATATTTTCACGTTTTATACCGAAAAGAAAATAATGATAGTAAACACAGTGAATCGATGATTTTCTGCTTTCTGCTTACTAGATACTAACAGATATCACCTTAGTTACTAGTAACTATTTCATTCTTACTATCAATAAGTCATTAATGAAATGCATTACATTTATCTTATCTGTCTTTTATCGTTTATTGATTAGATACTGGTACTTTTTTCAAAAACATTTATTACTTAAAACATATTAGCTGCTATTTAACTACTAGTAGCCTACTTATTTATTAGTTACTGCTAAGTATTCCACTAGTTACTAGTAACTATTCTCGTTTTACTAGTAACAATTTATTAGTTACTAGGCTACTAATTTTTTTTAGTAGGCCTAACACTTTCCCTTTTAAGAGTAGTCTATATATTATTTAGATATGGGTACTTCTTCATTAGTTACTAGTAACCAGTACATTTTAAGGATTAAATGTTAAAACTGCTTGCCATTGTGTCCTGCTGTATCAAAGTTAATAGGTAAATAATGGAATAGGTGCTAATAACTAATTAATTGCAATTAGTTACATGTAACTAAGAAATAGTTACTAGTAAGGAATGGATTAGTTAGTAGTAACTGAAAATTAACTACTAGTAACTAATCAGTTGTTACTATTAAAATAACTAATGGAATCGTTACCAGTAACTAATAAATAAGTATTCAAATAGCAACTAATATGTTTTAAGTAATAAATGTTTTTGAAAAAACTACCAGTATCTAATCAATAAACGATAAAAGACAAAAGATACTAGTAACATTTTGCTTTCGCATTATTAGTGACTAATAAATAAGTAGTAGTAGCTTTTAAACAGCGACTTGTAAGTTTGAAGGAATACACGTTAAAAAAGCTTGCCATAAAGTAGGTGGCAGATAAACAAAGCAGGAGCCAATGTAAATTATTTGAGGTAAAACCTGTGCACGTGTTGATTGTTGTCATAAGAATACTTCGTGCAAGCGTGTATTACCTTGCACGAATGTTTAACTCTATTTTGAACATTTTATTTTGAAAGTGCCCGCTGGCAGGTGTTGGATGCTAGCTTGACCGTCGCTGTTTCCCAAAAGAGCAGTAACTTACTGTTTAAATATGGATGTGCAATTTCATTGTAGTTGTCGTGGTCGTCGTGGGCAGTCAGGACGTTGTTGGTATTTAAAGATACCCTGGATGTATGAAAGACACCAAACTGTTAACTCGTCAAGTTGTTGGCGTGAAGTAGACACACTGGTACTTCCGGTGAAAACACGGCCTTTTTAAAATATATGTAGTTACACATAGTGACCACCGGATGGCAGTGTTCACTACAAAACCCTTTAACAAGTCAAGTAATGGATTATTAATAATAATGTTAAGATTGGAAAAGTCATGAGGTCTTCGAGACAAAAGCAGCAGAGAAGATTTCATCAGTTTGCGATTGCATTTCTTTAAATATTTTAAACACAAATATCAGTCACAGTAAATCGTAACAGTCTCTACAAATGTGTTAAATATGAATACATTTATATTAATTCATTAATAAAGTCATAACCAATTCAGAGAAAAGTACACACAGTATTAGCAGATGAGCTGTACCATTTTGCACTGTTTTACATAGTAGCAGCAGGCCAAACCAACTATTCCTCACGTTTTACCATCATATTTTAATGTTGCAAATTAAATCCAAGTAGTTGGGAGACATTTTTATATACATGTCTATGGGGGAGACCTGTAACATTTTTTACATTTCCTTCATAACTCAAAAACTACTTGAAATACACTGGTCATCTTAAGATACAATAGACATGCATGGGTGTACTTATTAATAATACAATTTATATTTTTTCGCTAATAAGGACAAATTAAATTCAAGAAGTCACAGTGTTGTGGGGGCAATTGCAACACTTAAAAATAAGTCATATTAACCCACTGAATCTCAAATAAAAGCCTAGCTCAAAGTAATCACTCTACCACTGCAGTATGCGATGATACTTTTGTTACTTTTATGTTTTTGTATATGGTTCAAATTCATGGTTCAATCATAAAATTGTGTCTTTCAAGTGAAATAATCATTATCTTTGGTTTTTCTGGGTCTCAACAAATAAAACCATTTTAAATCCACCATACAGACAAGTTGACAATGAAAGGAACTTTGCTTTTGCAATATTCACACTTTCTGTCGAACACATTAAAACACACATTATTTTATACATTTTATTCATATAAAGAATGAATGTTAATTGGTGATTTATGTTTATACTAGAAAAACATCAATATTAATAAACCCTTTTTAAATGTAGTTTTACATTTAAATTGAGTGAAATATGTTTATTTTCTGACAGAAAAGTAAGTCAACACAGCCATGTGGCTCGTTGGATGTTGCAGCCATGATATATATATATAGGCATGTATTACTGCTCTGCTCTGCCATGTAACATCAGAGTAACATTGTTCCCAACATACGACTCCTGTTGTCTCATTCGTTCAGTCCTGGGAACACTGAAGCAGGCGCTCGGCCCCAAAGCCGTGCTGGAGAGAGCTCAGTGAGTTTCTTCACACATCCTCCGGCACCTGGTGATGGAGCGGAGCTGTCCCAGATCAGTCAAGTGGACACACTGGTGAGTGAGAGGAGTTCAACATAAGTTGAAGGCACACAGCCTAATTTTCGTAGAGTGCCACATTTACATTACTGACTCATCTGAAACTGAAAAGTGTCCTCCCAGTTCAATGTTGTATCAACGTTAAATTCTGGGATTTCAGGACACTTAGCTACTAAAAAAATGAATACCATATGTTATAGTTTATTCAGACCTGTTTAACTCAACTGCTCCCCGTCTCATTTGTTGTGCTGCATGAGTTACATCAAGGTCTTCCAGAGGGAAGGTTTTGCAGGGTAAACGGTATCCTGAAATACCAACATCTTTCATTCAAGGATGTTGTGTGTGTGTGTGAACAACAAACACTCCGAGGCTTATTTACCACGAGAGGTTTAACACCTAGAAAAACAGCAGCTTTAACCACGATAGATAAAATATGAGTTCATTAACACATATTTTAAAGTAACGATTTGGCACCTCTCCCAGCATAGTACGTTTATTCAGTAATATCCGCTCATTATCTTGTTATTCGCATTGTTTCTTGACCCTTCACATCTGTAGATCTATTGTTGCTGCAGGCCCACGCACCCTTTAAACATTTGCACACACTCATGCACGCACACACTAACACAAACAGAGCCGCACAACAAGCACCAACAGAGCAGAATCATTTTAGGATGGGTTCACATGATTTTGTAAAGCAGGAATATTCTACGATTGCAATAACAATTTCACAGAAGATCTGTAGATAACTTTCAAGACATTGTCAGTGATGTACAAGGTCTATTGGGAATAGTGTAAATACACTGGTATGTACACCTTATTTTTTTATTATATCTTGCTCATTTGTGGTGGTTGTAGCTGCTAATCTACAGAAAAATGTCACCTTTCATGTATAAATATGTGACATGCTTTTTTCAGTCTTTTAAAAACCATAGGTGTATAGGTAGTTAATTATTTTCAAGTGAAAATGGCCTAATTTAAAGTGTAAACCTTTCAAATATGTGGCACAACAGGTCCTGTTTTTCCTTACTTCTTCTAAATCATCCATAAATCTTTTCGTTTACAAAGCTTTTTGCAGAAACTAATCTGAATATATTTACATATGATGTGCTCACATTATGATATAAAAAGGCAAAAACACAATACACACAAAAAATTCTCTTATATTAACTTAATAACTACTAAAACTGCGAGTGTGTGGTAGATAACAAGTAGCCAGAAGTCAGCAAGTTGGATCACTACTCACCAAATGTTTGCACACTTTAATTTATATATATATATGTGTGTAAAAGCACATAAATATACATAAATACACACACACAGTATACACACATATACATAGATATATTGCTTTTTCCATTTCTTCTGACGAATGTAGCAACTGTAAATGGCTTTGGACAAAAGCATTTGATAAATGCCATAAATATAAATGTAAACAGTTATCTCACATTACACTGTGTATATATAATTACAATGCTAATTTTTTAATTTTGTGTACCTCTATAAAAACAAACAACAATTCTTTCAAGGATGCAGAGGAAGCACTCTTTTGATGTTACAACTAGATATATTATGTGGATATGAGTATTTACAGGTTAATTGACAGAAAACTGTCTTGGATTAAGGGAATTGCTGCATGTAAACCACACATCACAATAAAACCACACTCACAAAGCAAGGCACACATTTCAAAGCATACCTACCTCAGTACAATAAGTACTACAATACAGTTTTTGTTGCTGCTCATTTGAACTTTCTAAGGAAATGTCCGTGTACAGTTTATCTACATACAGAAACAGGATCTCTCTAACTGTAATTTCAGATGAGGAATTAAAATCCTAAAAAGTTCACTCCTGTAGTAGAAACACAATGTCTGCCTATTATGTAATATGAAATGAGTTTGTTATTGTTTTCAGTTTGAGGAAAGGAAACATTGCTATAGGGGGCGAGCTGTGTCTGTGTGGGAGAAATTGTTATTGGATGTGAGATGTATGAAATGTAAAAACACAGCAAGAAGTTACCTCCTGTATGTAAACATTCATTGGAGCATGGGGGACTCTTCTGAAAGCACAATAAGCAACTTTATCCAGAAGATGGCAGTATTGAACTAGCAGCTCTGATCCAAAATTTGATCTCATCAGGAACAGGTCTGAGAAGGACAAGAGACAGTAAAATCAATGTGGCCCCGTCCACCCCCGCCCCTACCATCACGCCATCATGATCTCTGTCTCTCAGTGAGGTGAAGTCAGTAGACGGTGTGCACAATGACACCTGTCAGAGTTGATATTTTTGAAAAGCTTAAATAAAGGGACTTTAAATGCCTCAGTCAATGCGTGAGTCATTGTAAGCCAACATTACCAACTGCATAACTGCACAGTTTGTATAGGATTTGATATTCAAAGGATCAGAACAAACAAACTTGTGTGCTGTGTCTTATGAGCTTCAGAAACTGTCGTTAGCTTCCAGGTTTCGTGAGCAAAGGCTTGAAGAGTTTCACTTTGATATAAATCAGCCAGTCAATCAATCAGTCATTCAATCTATCGGATGCAACTACCGTAGAGCTATTTGCATGGTTTGGATATTAAAGAAACAAAAAATGTGTTTTCTAATTGTACTAACCATTTATTCAAACACAGATTTAAGGTACCGACAGTACACTGGTTTGAAACACCTCCAATTTATTTTCATTACCTGCTACCATTTCAGTAGATGTCCCTTCTTTAATGCAGGACATTTGGTTTTTAAATCAGCTCTTTTCTTTCTTTAAAGCAAACGATGTCATGGAAAAAACTGTAGTGGAGGTAATTGCTTTGATTACAAGCTGGCACATCATCAGTCACAAATACTTCATATGAGTGGAATAGTTTGACCTTTTGGAATAACATTATTCAATACTGCAATTTATTCAGGATTTTTAAGGTTTTTCTAATCCATTCCACCTCAACACTATCAGTACTCATCATTATTACTACTTTTTATTCATTACACGTCTGTCATATACTGTACAATACAGTACATTTTTTCCACACCTATTTATTATTTTTGTATTTATATTTGTGTATCTATAATTATTTATATTCCTTTAATGCCCTGATGTGCAAAATAAGAAACTGTAATACAAAAATTTCCCTTTGGGGATCAATAAAGTATTTCTGATTATGATTTCTTGTAGAGAGTTAGATCAGAAGATGGACACGACTCCTATGTTTGTATGATAAATATGATGCTACCACCAGCAGCTGGTTAGTTTAGCTTAGCATAAAGACTGAAAACAAGCAGAAACAGAACCTCCTTGCTTTTAAATATCCATCTACTAGCACCTAAAGCTCACTACTACACTATATCTAATTCATTTAATATATACAAAAACTGAAGAGTAAATATGGCACACTGAGTGGGCAGATTTTGTTACCTTCAGACAGAGCTAGGCTAGCAGTTTACCTGTTTCAGTCTTTATGCTAAGTTAAGCAAAGCTAACCAGCGGCTGGCTCTGGGTCCATATTTAAGCTAGCATGGATGGGAGTCAATTTTCTCATCTAACTCTTGGCAAGAAAGTGAATAAGCATATTTCCCAAAATGAAAATTAAAGTTTCAAGTTTGTGTGTAGCTATTAGCTAATGTCATCAGGTAAGATATCCCTCAGTGTCAAACTGTATAGCCTACCATGTAGCTTTCACACTATAAAAATTAAATTGATTTATAAAAAGAAAATGTGAGGTAGTTTAATATTTTGCCTAATGGCTGGAACTTTACTTCTGAATCTCGATCATCATTTAAATGTCATAATTAGGCCTACATATCATCTTACTTACATAACCATGCTTGTCACCAGCTTCTGCATTACCTTTCTCTCTTCATTAATGTGGTTTTTGTCCTTGGATAAGTGTGGCTCACAACCTCTTTATATTACCTAAAATACAGTCACCACACTGTTACTCCACTTGCACCAAATCTCTCCCTCCATTTTTTGGGGGACGCTAATAGGAAAGTCAGTGAGACTGCTGTGCCCCCAGCGGGAATATGGCCTTATTAATTAACATATTGAACTGCTCCGTTTTGAAAAGGTCATTTTCTCCAGCCTTTACAATCAAAGGAGTATTGCTACAACATATACCACATGCGTGTTCTCCTTTTTGAGTACTCTTGTAAACTCTGTCTGAGTGGGCTTTCATGTTGTGACATCTTTTAGTCATCATGATATCAAAACAGGATTATGGCATTCTTCTCCTGCCAATCTGCTGTTTTTGTCTGTCTCTTAAGCGCGTGGAATAGATTACCAGAGATAAACGTATTGTGCCTCGCGTGAGAAATGACAGACCTCTGTGTACACTGACCCTGACTCAGCTTCCTGCTGCTTACTCAGTGTCTCTAAATGGATTAAGTTGTCAGTTGGACAGCCCATCTGAGATTTTTAATATCCAGCCTGAGGTATATCAAGCAACCGTCTGCCAAATGGTATCAGAGGGATTTACTTCAGTTTTATTGCAACTTTCCCTCCCTTTTCTCATCTAAGATATGGTCATGCCCTCTATGATTCCTTGAGGGTGTTTCACTTGTACATTAATAACACATTGAGGAGAGTGAATGAAAATATATTCCACGAACTCCAGAGTTAATAATATATATATAATATAATATAATATAGCATATGTGAGGTAGAGATATGAAGGCCACTTCTACCTTTATTAGCTTCTTATTCCATTCATTTGCAAATATCTATTTGGCAGGTTTCCATTATGTTGTGTTGTTTCCAGGAATTAATGGATTTGGACACAAATATGACCACAAGCTTATTGACAAACAGGGAGGGGACACCCACCTCTCCATATATGCAATAACTGCCCATTTCAGCCTCTTTTCAGGGATTCAATCTCTTTGAGTGGACCTTGAACGCTTCCTTGACTTCCTCCATCTGTGGTGCTGAAGTACTGTCCATGGTGCTAGAATTTTAAACAGTATAGTATTGGCGTAAAGAGCAGAGTGATGTCTGTCAATGCGTTTGGAACTATTTCATCACTTCAGATATCCACAGAAAGAAACATGTCAGTTGTTTGTGTGTGTTTGTGGATTTCCTTCTCTGGAGGAAAAGTGTTTGGTTTGTTGAGCCTGTTTATTTGTGCTTGTTTGTGTATGTGTGTGTGTGTGTGTGTGAGTGGGTGTTTTTATACCACATAAATATCTTGAAACTGTTGCTGTCGTGACAGAGCCATAAACCAAAAAGCTTGAATCCAACATTATAATAAAAGTTTTCAACTTCCATTAAAGACATTAAAGTTATTCGGTTTTAAGCAGAGAAAATGGTTTGCTTGCTCAATTAGGTTGGGCATATTACACAGTGTCTTAAAAAGAAAATACAAACGCTTGTTTCATCTGTATTGGCTTTTTAAGTGTAAATTGTACAAAAGCTAATTTTGAAAAGGGATCTGTATGTACATTTTCAGTGGTTTGCCATTGGATGGATGGCATAATTTGATTTGGATTTGCAATTTGGTAATGCTTTACAATTCCTGTATTTCCAGGAAAATGTTTCCTGGAAAAAAACTTTGGTACTAATTATATAGAACGTGTTCTGCCATAGTGCAGACACAGAGTACAGAGGTTTGGGCCAAAATGCAAACACTAGAGAAAACACGTGATACTAGAAACGCCAGGGAAACAATGAACTGGCAACTAGACATAGTGAGGCAGAGACTTTAAATAGCTAAGGGGGTGGAGATAACGAGACAGGTGAAACACATTAGGGCAGGTGCAAACAATAAACCTAGAAACACAAGGGCGTGAAGTAAAAGCAGCACAAAACACACAAGGAAGAACACTTCCACAAAGTAAGACCCGAAAAAAATTGAATGATCATAATGAACATATCACACAGACAGGAAGCAAAAGACACCAAGACATGACAGGAAGGGCCTGCGGAAAACACCACCAACAAACTCCAAAAACACAACAAACCCCAAGGCTCTGACAGAAAAGTAGAGACATTGTTCTGAGACAGTACACATTGTACTACATTGGGATTGTAGCAGTACTTTTTGTAGTTACATGGTTGCAGTGTTTATAAGCAGTTGCTGATTTTGAGAGGATTATCTGTGAAAGCTAACAATTTTAAGACCCATTAAAACTCAGCTTCAAATGTTAAGTATTTCTACATAGATACTTGATAGATGACAGAAGTCCCACTTCAAACACAGAGAAAAAAAATGAATTAAAGAAATCCCTCTTGTGAAATACCTAAAGTGGTTTGGCCGAAAACAGTGTGCTCATGTAGGATCACGTAACTCACAATAAGAAGCTGACTGAGACATTATGTTTTCAGGACCTTTAATGACCGCTGGATTTTCCCCTCTAATTTACAGAAAGATACTAGAACCCCCCCCCCCCAACTTTGTATATTGTATTTTTAAACACAAGAAAACAAGTATCAAGTTTCTCATTAATAGAAATAGAAAACTCAAATACACAATGTACAAGATATATATAAACAAACAAACAAAAGACACATTTTACATGTTTGCATGTTTACAACCTGATGTGTATTAAATAAAAAATAAGTTTCAAGCTGCTAGCAGGTAATTCAATTGGATTTGACACACTTTTCACAAAGTCCTTTCCAGGAAACTGTGTACAAAATTATAATTGCATATCAATTATTTTAAGGAAAACTATGGAGCTCATATAAAGTAGATCATGGACCTTTGTCAGGCATCAAATTCACAATTCATTCAGTTCAATTTAGCTTTATTGGCATGAATGTAAAACAACAATATTGCCAAAACTACAAATAAATTACAAATTATGCATCTTCATAGAGCCACAGCCTACAACAGACAGTCAAAAAGGAAGCCAAATCTCCTGACACCATCGCCACCTCAATAACTGATCAAAAACACCTAAAAATGAGACAAACATTATATGTCTAAAGGTTTAAAATCAAAACGCTGCCTGTGTTCAGGAATTAAACCGTATCTTAACATAAGTTAAAGGTTCAGTGTGTAAGTTTTAGTGGCATCTTGTGCATTCACGTGCTCCTCGGATGGTAACTTTTCCTGAGTTGTGAAGAGTGTTCATGTGCTCTTAAGTCAGATTGGATTAGTAATATCAGAGCATATAAATAACACGCAGACAACTAGTTTACTCTACATGGACAGTAAACTAACCGTTGCAAATTCCATGTTTGCAAAATAGGCAACACCAGATTTTGCACAAATCAATGGTCCTGTATAATTTTTTATGTCCCATGTACACTTTATTTCTCTTTTTGCAATAAAGATTTAAGGAGAAAAAAAAGATTATTCTGACACCACATGAACGGATCATCAGTCACC